TCTTTAATCACAACCTTTCTGCTGATCTTGTACTTCGGAATGTAGGCGCTAATTCCTGCTTCTTGTAGTGGTTTGTTATTTAATGCACCGTTAGCCATGGTTTTCGACGGGAAGGTAGCCTTCCACGTATCCCTTGAGTACTTAGCAATCTGAGTGAATTTAATGTTGTACTTGCAAAGAATTTGTGAGATCTTCACAAGTGAGATCTTCTCTCTAATCGATCCAGCGACCGATTTAATGCGGAACAAAACAATGAACGGAGCCCTAGAGTAAGCATCATACTTAACTCTCTTCTCCATGTTGACCTCAGGTGTTTTGGCGCTAATACTTTTCTCGAGATCACTGTTTACAGCCGCACAGGCACTTTGACCTTTGGGGTTACCCCCAGACCTCGCGTTTGAGATTGCACTTACTGTCGTGTTTTGACCGCCGACCCTTCTCTTTGTTCCTTTGGGACCGCGTTTCACCTTGGGAGCAAGGTCATTTGTGGACGATTGATTGTCCTCTTCGGTAGTAGGGTGGCCTCTCTTTTTCGACGAGTTCTCAAAATCAACTTCCATGTCGTCATCTTCTTGATATGCCATATTAACGCTTTGAACAGGGTTTCCCCTCAAGAAGGCCTGAAGGTCATCTCCAATGTCTTCGAAACTCGGGGATGGAACGTACTCGCCCGAGGGCGAGCACGAGTTGCGGAGGTTAGACTCCGACAACTTGGCTGTCTCACACGCTATGACGAGGAAACCAGAAACAAGAACCTTCCGCGGAGCGTAACAAGAGTGAATGAAATACCTCTATAACCGCCAGACACACTCAATCACGGTAAATGCGTACAAAGTAACAGATACGTAATACGTAGTACCGTATGCAAGGGCCGCTCGAGCGGAAGTCCGTATTATACATATTGTACATTATCTAAGCCGCTGCCATCTCTAGATCGCTCAAGCACTAGAGGTGCAGTCGGTAATTTACCGCCTATGGTAAACGGCTTGAAAATGTGGTGTTCATCCATTATCATTAACCCTGTATATATATAAAGAATTAAATAAACATAAAAGTGAAATATACAAAGAGTTAGTGTAAATCTGTCATCTTCCCGCTACGTACCTGCATACGAGCGCATCCTATTCTTTTCGTCGTCGAAATTCCGAGGCAGCCAGCTTACTAAAACAGCGGGAAGGCATCTCCGTTGGCAGCTTGTCTCAACCTTTTTCGTAGGCGGGTAAAACGACCGAAAGTAGTAAAGTAACTGGATTGCAAAGATTTTACGGTTCAATAAATTATTTAAGTCGATACTTCTAATTTCAAATAGTAAATTAATAAAGATACAAGTGACTCTCATTTCAATACGGCTTATTCGGATCTGCGCATAGTGAGGTGCTTCGATTGAAGAAGTCCGATTTATAATGAAGATAGCGACTTGTAAAGTCGAATTAATTCGTTATGACGGATTAAATCCGGTTACAACCTAACCTTGCAGCCGTTAGCACTCGGCTGCAACGATCGCGCCGTTGATAAGCGTGGCGTCCACGAGCGTTCGCAATGATCCTTCCCAGTTCGAGATCGAGCTGACGAGGGCGATCATCGGCGAGGCCCACAATTTTAAGGATAGTGGCGTAGGATATGAAGTAGCGGCGATAGAGGAAATTCCGCTGTCGCATATTCCAATGCCGGACGAGCAGAGACCGCGAACACCGGAGAAGCTGAATGAGGAGCTAGGGCCGAACAGGACGTGCGAAGCTCTAAGGGCGGTTGGAGGACGCAAGTGTTGGAGTGACGTCAGGGTTACACGAGACAAAAACCGAGGTGGGGACCACAGAGTCCACTACACAGTAGAGTGAGTAAAAGTAGAATGAAGCCGATGAAGCTGGAAATCGCCATTTTACGATTGATAGCGTAACTGAGGCTTTGACTATATAATTATGGACCGCTAGTTGCCCCGTCCCACCACCCCTCTCACCCATAAGGTTATTATATATTGAAAGGATATTACTAGCCGGTTTTATTACCGGCGAAAGGATGTAGTGATATTTGTCAGGAATATTGGAGGAACGTAACTAGGGTAGACACTCGTGGTACACAGTAATTAACAGAACACAGGTTTATTCAATTAACACGAAAAAGGCGCTCGACTCGCGAGGCATAATGGCTGAGATCTTCTCTCGTCGACAAAAGACTTAAGACTGTTCTACCGTCTCCAGGCGGAAA